GAAACTTTTCGAAAAGCTAACATCGCCACGAGATTAAGTGTGGTCGATAATCTATGTTACCATCCATTCTTGGGGTGACAACATCCAAAAAATATGGATTCTGAGGCTTCTGGGAAACCCAATGCCCTGTTTAAACCGCGAGAAATGAAGAAGTAACCCGGCTCTTGAGAGGACACTTTGAGCTCTCTACCGATGAGAAAAGGTAATATATTCGCATGTTAAGTTATCGGGTTATCAAGTAGTTCCAGAGATCCCCTAAGAAAACCGGATTTTTGAAAAATAACTTCAAAAACTTGTTACTTCTGAAAATGTGTTTTCAAGTTTTGATTAATGAATTTGCGAAAACCACAAGTCTCTATCATTTTGTTTAGAAGTTATTCAAAAAACAACATCTTTTAGTTCGAAAACGGTAGTACTTATCAATATGATAGATATCAAAATGCTCGAAATTACGTTTCTATGGACCAAAGTTCTTACGTCCATAGAATTTCAAAAACTTATTACCACATGCCTCTTGGATATGTTCTTCTATCTATCGGGCACCGATAATAAGATCATTTGGTAGAGTTTCAATCGAAATGAGACTTGGCTAACGCGTACTACTCGTGAAAATAGACACTACTGAAATTTATATAAATAAGATTTAATGACTCCCCTTTCATTCATCTATTTGTTTTGCTGAAAACTCTTTATTTTTCTTCGAGACTTTGCCCATACTTGTTTTCTCCAAGATATTCAACAAATGTCCAACGAGTATACAATGTCCAGGAATGAACATCCGAAAAAATTCTGATAACCCTTATTAAGATACTACCAGACTCTCATCCGACCTCAAAAATATCTTAGGGAAAACAACCTGAAACTTGATAAGATGTTACCAAAATCTTATCTAATCATAAAATTTTCTAACTTGCGACCTTTGTGAGATTTGTTTAAAACATTAGACAGATGTAAGTGAAATTTTGGAGAGATCTTAATAAAAGTCGACTAAGTTCCTACGCATGGTCGATTAGTTCTTCTCTAAATACTGCAGAGCTCTCCTAGGAATCTGTCTAGTGTAGAAATCCTTTTTCTACACAAAATGTAAGATACTTTGGACCATCTTTTGACACCACCTTCGACTCTTTCACAGTATCATCGATGGTTCATGAGTTTTGTAGAGCAGTCTGTTTTCAACCTGAGACAATTAGAAAATTCAGCATTTTGAGGAAATAGATTTTTCTATTGAATAGCAATGTACAGACATTTAAACTGCGATATTGTCAACAATATTATCCTAATCACCATTTCTAAACTCATCTTTTACTCTGTCATTGTTTAGTGCGTCCACAATTTCCCGATTTAAATCATCGTTTAACTCTGCGTCATTTACCATCTATTCAGCCAATAACCAAGAGTACAGGACGTCATTTATTTTTAAATTCTCTTAATCAAACAACAAATGACCGTAAGAAACAATTAGGAAAATATGGTGGACTTGGTGGAGGAATCGATTCGATCTCTAAACCTCGTACAATCACCATAGTAAAGCATGGAGAAAAACCAAGAAAAACCATCTCAATTCTATTAAACAGAAGGACAGTACAAACATTTGATCAACTACTGAGTGATATATCAGAAGCATTTGGATATCAAAAATCTCGAACAGATAAAGTAATCCTATTTAAAAATTTTAAATAAAATTACAAGTAATTTATCGTTTATATTTGTTTTAGCTTAAAAAATTATTCAATTTAAAAGGAAGGCAAATTCATAGCATTGCCGACTTTTTTAGAGAAGGTACGTAATAGATAGTGCGAACGATTATTTAATTGAATATATAGTCAAAACGCCCAACTGCTTTTTCGGGGTGGGGTGGGGGTGGAGGTGGAGGTGGGGGATATTTCGAGTACTCGAAAATATGTTTTCAATGATATGTATACTCGATATATATGCTTTCGTCCCTCAATCGAAGCGTTCGAGGAGTTATCGATTTCGAGGCCTCGAGTTTCCGATAGATAGCGAGCCATCGAACAGAGATGTTCGGGATCCAAACAGATGGAAAAACTTCGTCCAAGGATGCGGCGAGGGCTCGGAAGTCTCAAACATCTCGGTTCGATGGCTCGCTACCTATCTGAAACTCGAGACTTCCAAATTGATAACCCCGCGACCGGTTCTACCGAGGGACCGAAGTCTCATTTTTCGAGAGTTCGACTCCTCGCCGCAATCTTCAGACGACTTTTCTCGTCTGCTTGAGTGAATTATCCATTTAGATGATGTCTTTATTGCCTCAAATCAATCTGATGTCTCACCTAACGAATTGCAAGATATTATCTCCGAACTGTCACTGACCGATTCTTCTAAAGTAAAACAACACTTAAAACAAGTACAAAACTTAACAACAACAAGTCCCGTCACTGCTGGATTAAAACAGCCGCAACAGTCGAATGATCAAGTACCACCGTTAACGATCGATTTAAAATTGAAGAATGGTATTCGAGATAGTGGATTTATGGATGACGAAGATTTATCGGGTCGAGATTCAGATATGGCATCATCGTTAAGAATGGTTAAATTAAATGTGTATGATACATTTAAAGGAACTAATACGACGACAACGAAAGAACCATCAGAAGATACACCCAATCATGACGATCTTGTTAGAAAACTCAAAAGTATGGTTTTGCTAGAGATGATCATCTTCTTTATATAAAAAGATTTTTTAAATTATTTTTCTAGAAACAACAAAATCAAATCAACAATCAATCGAATTACAACGTGAAAAAGATCGTCAACGTTTACGTGATGAAGAAGATAAACGAAAACGATCGTTAGCGTTGAATTTGAATAGTACAACAACGCCAAATGTACTCGGAGCAGCCATTCGTCCAAATGAAAAAGTGGCAAAATTTGAACCGTTGACTGTTGATAATCTGAATAATTCAATAAATCAAACAGATGATATAAAACGATCAACAAAAACTAAAACACCTATTGGTACATTTTCACCTCATTTCTATTTGAATGCCGGTTCGAAAGCATCAAAACATACAACAACACAAGCAACCGTTCAAACACCTAAAACAAGTCCACAACCACCTAAGACTGATAATAATGAGATACAGACACAGAAAAAATTTATTATCAAAAAACGATCATTACAAATAGTAAGTAATATACAAGCTCTTTACATTAAAACGGATATTTACCATATGAGGTCTTGAGAAATATTGATCAATTTTACCCCATCTCGACATGTTTCCATATTTTCATATCAATTATTCTCTGAAGCAAAACGTAAGCATGCAGTCTACATGCATCGACTACATTCTAGACGAAGTAGAGCAGATGACTTCTCCTTCAAAATCGAGACTTTATCGAACTATTCATAAAGTTATTTATTCTTTATTTTTAGTATCAGACTCCATCTGTGATAACAGATAAATATGATCTTGGCAAGAAAATGGGTGATGGTAATTTTGCAATTGTTAAACGATCAAAATTGAAGGGAACGGACAAAGAATACGCCATTAAAATAATTGATAAATCAAAAATGAAGGTATCTATAGTAATAAACTTTAAATATTATACAGGATCTTCACTACTATTTAATAAGAATGAAGATTTAATTAGACTAGTTTCATTTGTCATTGACTAGTATACTTTTTCACAGTTACTTATTTAATACTTGTTATTTTTACAATTTTTAGGGTAAAGAACATATGGTTGATAATGAAATAAATATAATGTATCAATGTAACCATTTGAATATAATTCGACTCTTTGAAGATTACGAAACACCGGATGAAATCTATTTAGTGATGGAGTTGATTAAAGGTGGAGATTTATTTGATTATATTACAAAACATCGACGATTTGACGAATCAACATCATCATTAATGGTCAAAGATGTCGGTGAAGCACTACTTTATCTACATTCAAAACATATTGTACACAGAGATCTCAAACCCGAAAATCTATTAGTTATGCAACGAAGAGATGGACGAATAGCAATTAAATTAACAGATTTTGGATTAGCTATGGAAGTAAATGGATTAATTAAAACTGTCTGTGGAACGCCAACGTAAGTGAACTTTTGAAACTAGACAAGGATAATGATTATAAAAATTATACTCTTTAATTTTAGATACGTAGCACCCGAAATCTTAGCTGAAACAGGTTTGTTTCTTATTATTAGTTTTTCAATGCCTACCATTTTTTCAACATGCTATTCTCTGTCTAAGGCTATGGATTTGAGGTCGACTGTTGGGCCACGGGTATCATAACGTATATTTTACTATGTGGCTATCCACCGTTTAAAAATATGGATCGAAATCAGGAAGAACTATTTCAAATGATTCAACGTGGAAAATTTACATATGATCCTGATTATTGGATTTCAATATCAGCAAGTAAATCTATTATTTTACATTGTATCGTCATTATAATATTCATACTCCATTCGTTCTCTTTTTAGGTGCTAAAAATTTAATTGATCATTTACTTGTTGTTGACCGTCATAAACGGATGAAAGCCGAAGAAATTTTACTCCATCCATGGATCATTAGTCAAGGACAATCGAAAACATTATCACCAAGAGGTTTAGAAGAATTACGTACCACATTAAAAACAAAATATGAGCAAAAATCTAAAGAATATGCAAATGAAAATACAACTTGAATAACATGATCAGGTTATGCATCAGTTATTAAAACGAGGTTTTTTGTTTTGCACAGTTCTATCGATAATTAGCGTTTTTTGCTTTCAGTATATATAGTTTTTATCAGTGTTAAAGAGAATTCTAGCCATGAAAGAAAGTGTCTACTTTCTTCGTGAATATTTATGTGCAGTTTAAAAATGCCTTTGTGATAATGTCCCTAAAGTGTATAATTCTAAACAATTCTTTTAAATGTGAGTGTGCAAATGACGAAGAATCTGTATTTAAGTGAATATGTCAGATTGTACAGTCACTATATAAAACAGAACACAATCTTATTCATAATCTCAATATCTTTAATCCGTCCATAAAACAATAAATCGTAATTTATTATTATTAACAAATTTTCTCTTTTCTCATTTGTGAACTTGGCTGCCATTACATATATTCGATTCGTTGACAAAAATAACAAATGGTTTATTTTCTATCTATTTGTTTTTTTACTTTTCACTTTTGTTTTTCACTTTCTTTTTACTGAATATAGAAGTTATTTTTGTAATTTCAAACGACATAAACATGTCGATTTTTTCTATTTTAATGTTTATTTTTGATAATGAAATGAAACTCTTCCTGAATAATAAATGAACAGATTCATACAATTGCAAAATGTCTGTTAAGTGTTTGTTTTTGATCGCTAGGCAAAGACGCAGAGAAACAGAGGATTCATGTTGGCCGTTTTTGAACAGTCAGTGTGGAGACATATCCCGATCGGGATGTACTCCCAATCGGGATATATATATCCTGATTGGGATATCATTTTTTGCAGCAAAATTTTTTCTGTACCCCGAACAGGATATAGTTTGAAATTATATCCCGATCAGGATATAATTCGATATCCCGATTGGGATATCAAGAATTTTAATGTTTAATTTGTTAGAAAATGGATAAATTTTAATTATATGAGAGCTGAATACTCTTCTCCTTCTTCTTTATTCCCCCTCTCTAATGTTCCTAGTAGTGTCTTTTGCTTTCTCCAGCTGATCGAAGAGACACATATATCTTTTTAACAGACGTAAATAGATTTCTTCTATTAGACATCTTTCATATGTGAGTGTAGTATAAAATATAATAGAAGACAAAGTCGTTACCACGCACAGTTTCATCTACCATACATTTGTAACGTTCTTTTCTTCTTCGTCTTCTTATAACTATCAATAATTCACTTGATTCAATTATGCCTCCCAAAACATCAATGCAAAAACACCATACGGGTCCAACCATTACAAAATTTAAGTCTGATAAATTGAAGCGTGCTCAAAGAACATAAGGTAGTTTATCTGCAAGAACGGATAGTTAGAAAATTTCCCATTAAACACAAAGCACGTATATTTATATATTGTCGACGCATGAGAAAAGAATCGTGTTTCAATATATGTGGGCATCGAAAAGGAAGATCCGATGTAGTTTTTCGAGCTCTTTCGAATGGTGACGTCAGTTTTATCCCCAAATCTCGTCATTTTTCCCTAAATCGTTTTTACGACGAAATTTCGTGTTTTATATCCCGATCGGGATATAAATTCGACTAAAATTAGTTAAAGGTTTTTGTTTGAAAAAATAGTTGCTGGGTACTTGATGCACTTTTGATCAAACACAACAGAATCCGATGTAGTTTTTCGAGCTCTTTCGAATGGTGAAGTCAATTTTACCCCAAAATGTTGTCATTTTCCCCTTAATCATTTTTACGACGAAATTTCATGTTTTATATCCCGATCGGAATACTACTTTTTTTCTATACCCCGATCAGGATATAGGAGGTGTCCCCTTACTGACAGTTAGCCTTAATTACCCTGTACATTTCAGAAAACTTAGGAGTTTCTTCGCCCGTGACTTTATTGGTACTGTTCATCGAAACTTGTGTCAACCGAGTGACTGCTGCTTCTAAGTCTAGTATTAGTAATGACACCATGTACTGATAAAACCAAAAATATTGACATATCTGAAAATTAGTATATTTGAAACAATAATATACAAAGAAATTAGCCATAGCCAAGAATTAGCGTCTGTTTAAAACTTATTTATATCGAAATATTGTACATATTCTTCATTATGTTACATAAAAAAAAACTTCTGACTAACTACAGCTAAGAGATAAGAGTGAACTCTATTGTCTGTCAATGAGTGTATCTAATGTAGGTATTGATCCATGCAACGATTTTCTTAAACGAATCTCTTGCACAATTTGACCCGAACGCGAATCTAACTCAAACGGATTACCTGGTAATAATTGCCAATGATCAAATTGACATTGGGGAAATGCTTGACCACTAGTCATTTGTCTCAGTTCGGAGGTAAACCCAAACGATTCATTCACAGGCAAATACGATTTAACACGTGTTAGCGATGTACCATTTAATTCTACCTCTTCAATAATTTGACCACGGCGTTTATTTAGCGTTGCATACACTTTACCCAGTACGCGTGATGGACATTCAATCTCGACTACAAAGACCGGCTCTAATATTCGAGGTTCAGCCATATGCATTGAGGCTAAAAGACAGCGTCGGATCGCTGGAATAATTTGATCAGGACGACGATGAGCAGCATCACGATGAATTTCAGCATCTAATAAATCAATTCGAACACCACGTAAATTCTCATTGCATAAAACACCTTCATCAGATGCCCATTGAAAACCAGCCACAATTGTATCTTGAATATTCGATAAACCATCGACACCTTTCGTTGAATCTATCAACATATTTGGTCCAACATGTTGTGGTCCAAATGACCAAATTTTTTTCGTTGCAGCAAGATCAAATTGGTAGTTCTCTACTAGATATCTTGTTCGCTCTTTTTGATCGTGATTTGCTGTTACAAGTCCATTTTCGATCGCTTCCGCCAATCCATCGGGTAATGGTTGTGCTCGCATAAAGAATTTGTTATGCTTATTTGTTGTTTTCGTGAATGCTGTATGCGACGACTCTTGTGTGACTGTTTCACGATATGTTACAACTGGTGTTGATGTTTTCAATTGACATTTGGCATATTCACGTTCCAAATCTTGAATACAAATCTCGAGATGAAGCTCACCGGCTGCTGCTATGATATGTTGACCATTTTCATTTAATATTTGTACGAGAGAATCGGATTGAGCGAGTTTTTTCAGACCATCAACTACTCTGGCATGATCGCTTGGCTCTTTGGCATCTACAGCAGCTCGGACCACTGGACTCACCGAAAATTTCATCATTCTAAGATTATGTGCTTCATTGTAACTTGTAACAGTTGCTGTTTTCAATAAACATTTGTCGATACCTGACAGTGCCACAACATTTCCAGCAGGAACACTTCCCATTGATATGCAACGATCACCAATCATCACACTTACACTTGTCACATTTTTAACCTACAAATACCGTTCATATAAAGCAATTATTAAAAAGAAAAATGTATATATATTAATTACTTGTACGTCATTGTTTGTTCCCGGTTGATAATTCGGCCCTAATATTCTCACATTTTGGCCAGAACTAATTGTTCCACTGAATACTCTTCCAAAACATAAAAATCTTGCACCATCTGTTGATGGTATCTTTTTACTGATATAAATCATTAATTCACCGTTTGGATCACATGATTTCATTCCCGCAGCTGCTCTGTCATCTTGGGGTCCTTCATAAAGATAATCTGTTCGATATGCCTGAGCCTGAACTGGCGAAGGTAAATGTAATACAATTAAATGTAACATTGCTTCTCCAGCTGGCAACCACCTCTTCATTACATTACCCATGAGAACTTTTCCATCTTGTTGTTGTGGATCTAATTCATCGGTGGTTAATTTGACACCCAGTTTATCTGTCATTGTTTTCACTTCGTCAATATTTAGTTCCATGCACGAATTAAAAAGACGATAGATTGGTTTCAAAATATGTTGACAAAATCCACGTTCAATTGTACCCGTAGGACGATCTTTCCTTGCTACAATCATTTCTTCATAGGTTAACCATTTTTTCGTATCATTATCAAAGTACGTTTCACCCCACAGTTTTTGCGCGACTTTTTCTTTAGTTTGTTTCGACCATTTTTCAGCATAAAACGAGGCAAATTGAGGTATAGTGAATGCCCAGCATTGTTTACCAGCACCAAATGCCACGTTACCTTTGCATGGATCAAAATGATCATCATCATAAATTTTCTCTTGTTCATCTGTTCGATATGTGGCTACAAGTGAATTGACCTTCTGAATTATACTTGACATTTTTTGATATAATTCTTCAGGTTGCAATTTCTGTTCCAAAATACAACGATCGACTTTATTAATAATTAATGTTAATTGCACACGTTCACTAAGAGCTTGTCTCAATACGGTTTCTGTTTGAACTGAAACACCCGATACACAATCGACAACTAATAGAGCACCGTCAGTAACACGTAAAGCAGTCGTTACTTCCGATGAAAAATCAACATGACCAGGCGAATCAATTAAGTTGACTAGAAAACCATTACCATCACGTTTCAAAGAGCCTACACAAAAAAATACATTTCAAATAAATATATACTAATATTTACAGCAATAAATTAACTCACCTAGTACATTTTCATCAAGTTCATAATACATGCTAACAGCCGATGATTTAATTGTAATCCCCCGTTCTTGTTCATCTTCCCTTGAATCTGTAAACCTTCTATTTCCAGCTTGTGCTTCTGTGATAATACCCGCTTTACACACGAGTGCATCAGTCAATGTCGATTTTCCATGATCAACATGAGCTATTACACACATATTACGGATATTCAATGGTTTACGCATTGTGTCATGTATTGCTTGTGTACGCTGCCGCTGCATAATTGATTATTATTACGTTTTATAAATTAATTTTAGAAAATATATACTACTTTGGATAGATGTCTATTGTTTCTGATCATCACCATAAGAATAAAGTATACCGAACAGGAAAGAAAAGATATATATACGACATAGATGAAATTTCGTAATTACAAATATTGCGAAAATTTTTACGTTGTTACACAA